GAGAATGAATGGAGTCAGAATCAGCAATGGTCACTTACTACTGAAGATTAGTGCACTTCGTGAATTCTCATCACCAACACTGTCTTCCATTTACCTGAAAGCAATAAAACTTCATGGATGTACCCTCATAGCAGACATTGGCATTTAATAGACTATATCCTTGTAAGGAGAAGAGACAGACAGGATCTAAGAGTGATGCAGGTGATGTGTGGTGCAGAGTGCTGGACTGATTATAGACTCATCCTCTACAAGCTAAATATTTGCATTCAACAAAAGCAGTGGCCTCAAGGCAAGATGACTACCAGAAGATTTAATGTCAGCAGAACAGGGCACTTCTTCAAGCAGGAACAATTCATTACTAATTTGGAGAGAAAGCTGAGCCAACACATATTTGGCAACAGTGAAGCAGAAAAGGAGTGGGCAGCTTTCAGAGATTTGGTGTACAGCACTACATTTATGCATCTGGGCTGGATACTCACAAACATCAAGACTGGTTTGATGAAAATGATGGGGAAATTCAGAAGCTGCTAAATGAAAAACGAGAACTCCACAGGGTTTACCAGCAGGATAGTTCATCTATCTCTAAGAAGGCAGTATTTAACTCCATCAAAAGTAAAATGTAAGCAAAGCTTAGAGAGATGCAGGACTCTTGGCTCAGTAAGAAAGCAGATGGAATTCAGTTATGCTGATGCTAACAACCCAAAGCACTTTTATGATGTCTTAAAAGCTATTTATGGGCCAAAGACCTAAGGCATATCTCGACCACTCAGTGCTGATGGAGCTACATTGATTAGTGATAAGGCCATGATCCTGGAGAGCTGGGATGAACACTTCCATTGTGTTCTCAACAGACCATCATCAATCAACGTTGAAGCCATTGACTGTTTACCTCAGGTTGAAGTCAATCCCTGTCTAGCCAAATTTCCAACTGAAAAAGAGGTTTTCAATGCCACTAGGCTCCTCTCATGTGGCAAAATGCCTGGTGCTCCTTCTATTCCAGCTAAGATTCATAAGGTAGGGGATCCACTTCTCATACAAAATCTAACTGAAATCTTCTGGGTTATATCACAAGAGGAGGTTATCCCCCAGGAGTTCAAGGATGCCTCCACTGTCCATCTCTATAAAAGCAAAGGGAATAAATTGTCCTGTGACAGTCATGGGGGGAGAATGGAGTCTCTCTCTTGCCAGAGTCCTCCTTAATAGGCTGATCCTCCACCTGGAAGATGGTGATCTACCTGAGAGCCAGTGTGGTTTCAGAAATGTCCAAGGAATGGTTAATATGGTGTTTGCTTCTTGACAACTGCAGGAGAAATGCCAGCAGCAGAACAGAGGTGCACAATGTTTGTTGATCTACCTAAGGGCTTTGATATTATCAGTCATGAAGGCTTGTAGAAAATTATTGCAAAATTTGGTTGCCTGGAGAAGTTCATTAGTATTGTACTTCAATGCATGCTTGCCCAGGTTCTGGATAATGAACAGGGCTATCATGTTTTCCCAGTCACCAAGGCTGTGTGTTTGCTCCCATGTTTTTATTTTATTTTATTTTATTTCATCTTTAGGCAATTGGGGTTAAGTGACTTGCCCAGGGTCATACAGCTAGTAAGTGTCAAGTGTTTGGTCTGAGGCCGGATTTGAACTCAGGTCCTCCTGACTTTAGGGCTGGTGTTCTATCCACTGCGCCACCTAGCTGCCATGCTCCCATGTTTTTTAGCATGATGTTTTCAGCAATGTTGTCGCACATCTTTAACAAGGATGAAATGGTATCGAAGTCAGCTACCACACCGATGGTAAGTTATTTAACTTGAAAAGGCTACAAGCCAAGACGAAAGTGGAGGGAGAGTTGGTGTGTGACTTTGCATATAACTGTGCAATCAGTTCACAGATGGTTGTGCAGCCTCCGAGGATGAGATGCAACAGAGTATGAAATCAGTCCTCTTTTGCTTGTTCTAATTTTGGCCTAACCATCAACACCAAGAAAAGACAGGTTCTCCACCAGCCAGCACCACACCATCCATACGTGGAACCAACAGCAAATGGAGAAATATGAATGCTGCAGGCAAGTTCACTTACTTTGGCAGTATACTTTCCAGGTATGTCCACATAGACAACGAGGTTGATATACACATTGCCAGAACTGGCTCAGTGTTTGGGAGGCTCTGAAGGAAGATGTGGGAGAGAAAAGATATTAGACTGACCACCAAATTGAAAGTCTACAGAGCCATAGTGCTGTATGCCTGTGAAACCTGGACAGTCTACCAGCGCCATACCAGGAAATTGAATCACTTCCATTTGAATTGTCGTAGGAAGACTCTGAAGATCACCTGGCAGGATAAGATACCAGACACTGGGTCCTTTCTTGTTCTGAACTGCCAAACATTCAAACTCTATTGCACAGAGTGTAACGCCAGTGGGCTGGTTACATTGTTCAAATATCAAACATATATTTGCCTAAAAGACTATTTTGCAAAGAACTCACACAAGGCAGGTGCTCATATGGTGGTCAGAAATGATACAAAGACACTCTCGAGGTCTCTCTGAAAAACTCTATAATTGATTTTATGACGTATACATTGCTATAGGACCACCCAGCATGGCATGCCCTCATCAGAGAAGTTGCTGTGCTCTATAAGCGAAACAGAATTGAAGCAACTCAAAAGAAACATGAGGTGCACTAATTTGGAGAATCCACTCCAAATGTCCCCAGGGACTATTTGTGCTCAACCTGTGGTAGAAGGTAGACCTTCTGAGCTTGTATTGCTCTGATTGACCTCAACGCTGTGAGGTCATTTTGGTCTTCTTCAAAAAGAAAGGACAACAACCCACTGACAAAGCTGTAGTTAAAAAGCCTTTTGAATAGTTACTTCATCTGATAATTTATCTCTTTTGCTCAAAGCAATCTCTGCCTGGTACAGTTAAAGTAAATGCCACTGACTTACACATCGCCTTACTCAGCTTGATTGTTGGAGACCTCACTATCTCAAACACAGAAATTGGAATCAATTTGTTTGTCCTGTGTTTGTCCTTTTATTCTTGATTCAGGAATAAAACTCCTTTTTTCCTCGGAAGAGATACACTGAAAAAAGAGATAGTTCCTAGCTTGGCATTTTAATTCCTCCATCCTTAAAGGACACTGCTAGAATTCAATGTCTCCTTTTTTAGGGTTGGAAACACAGGCAGTTCCCCAACATCTCAAGGTCAGAAAAGTTTTCTGCTTGAGGCAGGCTCCCCTCTCACTTCTCTAGCCTTTTGCAAGAGGTCTCTGCGAAGGAGACACGGCTCTGTGAAGGTGACCCAGGAGGGATGGCCTGGGCTTTTGTGATTCCTTCTATTTATAGACAACTAAGTCCAAATTCAAAAGCTGTAGCTAACACAAACAGAAACACTCAGAACAGACATAAACTATACAACACTCTTTTTGCCTGGAGAAGATCTGAAACTCTTGTGGATAGGGAGTGAAGCCATCTCCAGAGTCACTAACAGAAACTCTCCTTTTGTGGAAAATTTGTTCTACTTGGGCCCAATAGAATAGGGGGAGGTTCTGATATGGATCTGGACACGACAGCTCTTATGTTCCTATCCCACTACTGTCATCAACTGTCTCTACTGAATTTTAAAAGGGTAAACTAAGGCAGATCTCTGATAACATTTATTACCAAGGGCAATCTACCTGTCAATAAGGAGCCTGAACAAAAGGACAGCTCCCCTTTTATAGGTTTTGAGGAGCACATAACAAAGAACAGAACGTGGTATATGGTATTGGGGGCAACGTAACTGATTACAGAGCTGAAGTGCAAGAAACAATATGATTGGTTGGAAGTTTGGTAATGGGGGCTAGCAACAATCCCCTTCTTTTCTCACAAGACTAAGAAGCACTCATCGTTTGAGTCCAGGTGCAAGATAGTGGCCCAGACTTTTGGACAGCAAACGAGACATCCTTGAAGGCTAGCTTGGTGGAGTAATGCTTTCAAGCCCAAACTCCCTTGCTTTCTTACACATTCTTCAAGGTCAGTTAAATTCCTTGAGGCAAGAATAGATAGGGTTTTGGTTTTTTTTTTTAATTTTATCTCATTACAGGCCAGCTGAACTCTGAACTAAGTTCAGAGACAAAGAACCATGACTTAATCAGTTACAGGGCAATTGTAAATAATCAATATTGTAAATATTGATCTTATTTGTAAATAAGATCAATAAGAAAATCATGTCCAAAGGGCTAGGCTGGTTCAATTATATGTTGTTCAGGTGCACAGACATTTCCATTTGTTTGATATTTCCATCTGGGTTTGTGAACCTAGTTTAAAGTACATACAAAGGTTGTCTTTGTATTTCCAGAGCCTGGCGTGCAGTTGGCATTTAATAAATACTTGCTGAATGATTTTTAAAAATAGTAGTAGCCAGCTTTGCATGACATTAATGAAAGCCATTTTGAACATCTGGTATTTTCCTTCTCTCTCCATGAGAAGATCCAAGGGTACCATTCTTAGAGTAATCAAATGGACGCTTCTAAGACACCACTTTATGCTGCTAGGACTTGAATCAGAATTTGGGGCAGAGGAATGGTGCTCAGCTGCTGGTGGAATGTCCTCCAGACGGGCATGGATGAGGCTGCTGTCCCACAGAATAGCCACAGTGGTCCTGACCAGAAGCAGGGACCCTCAGGCCTGGCTAGCCTGCCCTGGATGACGTTTTGGTATAAGGATATTGCATAAGTCAGTCTGCTTATGGTCCCACCTGCAGAATTCTGGGCTGTCTTATGCAGAGGGGCCTTGCCCCCATGGGCAGAGGGGGCAGCAGCCAGCTCTGGCTCCTTGGCTGGAGGAGTTGGCTCCGAGGACTCTTTATCCCCTTTCCCTGTGTGAACTGGCCACGAGCTGGAGCCCCTCTCCTCCTCTGAAGGCCCAGTGCTTCCAACACTTGGGCAGGCTGAGGAGGAAGCTTCTTTGATGCCCCCGGAGCCATGTTTGTCTTCAGACCAAGTCTCCAACTGGTCCCATTTCTTCCAGGTGACACTCCCATCATTCCATGATCCCCTGTTACAAGCCCAGCAAGACAGGGATGAGGAGAACAGAGCGATTCTTCAGTGTGAGACAGGTACTTGGAGCTGCCAGCAGCCTCCACTGTGATAACAACCCAGAGGTGACCAGATTCAAACGCTCATCTGCTGCTTCTCTCCATGTAGGAAAACTATACACAATGAAGGAGTTTAAAGAAATAGAGAAAGTCAAACGGCTGGCCAAGCTGCCACAATCATCCCTTGCCCGGCAGAATATCAGCCCGAATGAGTGGCTTAAAGTCCCTGCTAGTTACATGGAAAGTGAACTTCGTCAAAAGTCCAGGTAGGGGTTGGTTTCTAGCATTTCAGTCTGGTGCTCACCAGGGAGGGCTCCGTGCCTTGGAAAGAAGTGTGTCCTCAGTAACCCTTTTCCTGTTTAAGGTTAAGAGTGAGAGTGAATCGTAACCAGATCAGCTCTGACTTCAGAAAGATCTTCTATCCTTCAGAAACCAATATAGAAGCCAACATTTCCCAGTAAGTCTGTCAGCACCTTTGTAATTTCCTCATTTTTTCCTCTGCTAGCTGAATGACATTAGGCAAATAATCTTACTTTTTTTTTAAACTTGTTTCCTTTGCTGTACATGGAGCTCACAACACTTGTACTCCCCATGAGAAAAGAACTTTTAAACTTTCATAGAAATGTGAGTTGGTGAGACTTCCCTCACCTGTCAGAAAAATCTGTCCAAGATTTGTTTTTTTAGTTTTATACTTATTTTATTTTCTGTTAATTTTGAGTTCTGAGTTGTCTCCTTCCCAACTCTGCTTAGAGAAGGCCAACCTTTGAGTTGGATATACATGTGGAACTTATACCACATCCTTCCATAGATCAGTTCTTTCTCTGGATATGGACAGCATTTTCCTTCCTAGGCCCTTTGTCATTAACTTGAATATTCTCATCACTCAAAATAGCTTTGCCATTCAGTTACACTTTGAACAATACTGCCACCATTGTATACAATGTTCTCTTGGTCCTGTACTATCCAAGGTTGGAGACACTTTTAGGGTCAGCCTCCATACAAAATAATAGCTCAGGAGCCCAACCAAAACATTCACTTTTACCAGTCAACCAGAGGACAAAAGAGTTCAAAGCAAAAGACTTTTAATCGATGGTACAAACCAAGTGCCGAGAGAAGATGACCCTCATGTCCACAGAGGTTTGCACCCCCATCCATCCCACAGGGGACCCCTTATCGGCAAGAAGAGGTGTATACTAAGAATCCTTGTGTCAGACACACCCATAGAAGGACAACAGATGTGGCCAGGGTGGCTTATATCATCAATGGGGCAGAGCTGCTGCGTCCTCTGCTGCTGTCATTGTACTGCTTTCTGGGTGGCCTCTCAGGTCTCCTCCATTCTCCATCTTGTTGTCTGCAGTTCTAATACTGCTAGGGAGCAGTGGTTAGGGAGCCTCAGTCACTGAACGGGAGAAATACAGCTTTCTTAGGACAGACTTGGCTGTGAACCAACAGCCCAAGCACAATGCCCAAGCTGAGACTGTCTTCTTCAGTCCTCTGTCTCAGGTCCCATACAAGGAGCTGACTTGGTGTTAGGGAGGTTCCTGTAGCTGCTCATTTCAGGGACTGCTCAGAAACCCCCTGGAGCAGTTCAGAGGCTGGGCTGCTAAGGCAAGTGTTGCTCCCAAAATTCTCTTGGGTTTGGTGAGGAAGGTAAGAGTACTCCCTATGACCCTCTGAATCACATTTCTCCTCTTATCCCCCATGCACACCTCCAATAACCAAACTTTGCCGGTCCCCTGCGCTCACCTCTGCCTTGAACAAATGCTGTCTCTCCTGTGGCCATTTTCCTGAGCTCTACTGTCATTTCTCATTCATCACTCCCAAGCTCCTACCTCCTACCTCTGCGATTTGATTTTCCTTGAATCTCTTCCTCCCCTCAAGGGGACAAGAGCTATCCACAGAGTAGCCCTTGTGACTCAGCCAATGACTGTTTCTATAAGGAACTGTTTGTTTCTAGTTGATTGTGAGAGTGGTGCTAAAGTCCCAAATTAACTTCATTTACTTAAGTGAAAACATTAAGAGCAGAGAGTGATTTTAAAAAGTAAAAGGTAAAGATGGACAGGCTGGGATTGCCCAAATCTCAGTTGCCAAGGTCTTCTGAGAACAGGGACAAGAGGCATCTTTCCTTAACCTAAACAGGCCACAGCTTTGCCCAAAGAACAGAACTAGATTAAATTCAAGAAGAGGATTTCTAAGGAGCAGAACCTTTACAGGGCTACACTCCTGTGTCAGCCTTGACACATCTAAGCTAGGTGACTGTGAGCAAACCCCTTTCTCTCCAGAAGCTTAATTTTCCTTAACTGTAAAATACTGATAGATTCTGTGACCACTTGGTGGTGCTGTTGGGCAAAGTTGGTGGTATAGGCATTTACGCCCTCCTGGATGGGCACCCACCTTTGGAATGTAAGAGCAATCATTCATCCTAAACAATACCTTTATTCTCCACTGTGTGGGCCCATTCCCTAATCACTACTTTCATCCATTGAGCATGAGGAGAGGGGGAAAAAAAGCAAAAAAGTAAAAAGCCCAAATTCCAACAAACCAGTAGGAAGACAGTGTGGCTCACTAGCACCCATCCCTCTCACCAGACCACCATGGATGCCTGGCTTATAGTATCAAAAAGAAAAAAGAAGAACCAGATTCCCATGGCTAGGTCTTTTCTAATATAGGAAACTTACTCAGAGTTCCCATCTTGGGCAAAGTCCTAGACCTCTCTTATTGTATTTCTCTTCTACCACAGGCCATTCACTAACTCTTTATCTTACAGTCCTATTATTTGTAATTAAGGACACAATACATATAAAGCAGATATGACCAGTCATAATTTAAGCAGTTAGGTAGAGTAGTGAGCACTGGTTTCGAAGTCAGAATGACCTGAGTTTGAATCCTCCTTCAGATACTTACTAGCTATGTGATCCTGAGCAAGTAGTTTAACTCTGAGGAAACTCAGTTTCCTCCTCTGTAAAATTAAGATAATCATAGTACTGCCTCCTCGTGGCGGTTGTGAGAATTAAATGAGGTACCGTTTGTAAAGTGCTTTGCAAAGCTTAACCTAGTCATAGACCACCATTTGTTACTGCTATTCCAGGGTGGCTGGCAGGCTCCCCCACGTCCATATCTGGCTAGCACTGTTCTGGGTCTCTCTCCCACCTCTGTGTTGAATGCCAGTAATCCATGGGGCAAGGAGGGGAAGGGAAGAATCACATTAGGACCATGGAAGAGACTGAAGTCTACTTCTGCCGGTGGCAGCCAGGTTTCCCTCTGACAGCGAGGACTAACTAACCCCAGAAGGGAGCAAGGACCAATGTCCCCTGAACAGTGTAGCAGTGAAGACTCATAGAAGCCTTGGCCTTTGAATCCTGAACATCCTAGTGCTGTATTTGCATTAGGGGCCAGTCATAAACCGAGAGGGAAACCATGCAAGATCCAAGACCCCTGAAAGCCTTTGAAAGCCTTGGGACATACTAAGGATGAATGACTTAGAGCTTCAGCCTGCAGACCGTGGAGCAGAAGCCCATTGCCCCCATCATGAGGACCACTCATGGACTCATTTGGGCATCCCAAAACTCTGGCACAAAGTCTGTGATTAGTAAATGCTTGTTGAGAATGAAATCTGGATGCCAGGTGACAGGATTTTGGGATTTCTCCAGAGGCACCCACAGAACCACTAATTCAGAGCTGGGAGGGGCCTGTGAGGTCATCCTGGGCAACTCCTCCCCCTCCCCCACACCCATACATACACTTTACAGTCAAGCTGAGTCAGACTTGGGAGGGAAGGAATAAGCATTTACATAGCACCAACCATTTACACAGCTGGGGTCACCACAGGACTAGTGACTCAACTTCATCCCCAACACACTCGTCACAGACACACAGACCCAAGATCACATGGGTAGAAAGCAGCAGACCAGGATTTGTAGCCTGGACAGCCAACATGAATCCTGTGTCATGGCCTGGCAGGATGGGAGGGGTGCACTCCATGTCCCAAGCTTGAGATGTGGCCTTCACAGAGGAGACAAACCCCAGGCAAAACTGACAAGATGTGTCATGTGTCATGAGACACATCAGACAGCCAGATGTGGCCCTTCATTCCACAAGGAATGCCATGGGCAGCATTGCCAGAACTCTGTCATGGAATTAAAAGAGATCAGAGATGGGAGGTGTCTTTGCAGTTATGCTCCTTGTGCCTCAAACATGACTCATTTTACAGAGGGGGCAACTGAGCCCTGGGGGGGTATAAGGTGCCCTCATCCACAAGGCCACATCTACTCTCTGGGGCTCACTTTCCCCCTCTGGAAAATGAGGGAATTAGCCTTAAGTTGCCAAGCAGCAACTAAGCCCCAGATCCTCTCAGTTTGGGTGTAGAAACAAGACAAAGCCACCCCACTCATCCCTGCATACTGTGTTCATGTGCACTGAGGAATGGGATGGCTTTGTTTGTCCTTTGTTTTTAGAGAAGGCCAATGACACCATAGGGTGATGTTTAGCCTCATACATGAATTGGATTTAAGTGAGGCAGAGCTGCACAAAGCTGACACCTTGTGGACAACGGAGTGTCTCTGTCTCTCACACGTGCACTCACTCTCTCACATACACACAACCTTTACACAATGCACTGTGTCTCACATACACATGCACATTCTCTCATGCACACATTTACAATGCACACGCACATACACACCCACCCAATGTACTCATACACCCCCCCTCACAATGCACTCACTCTCACATACACATCCCCACACAATGCACACACCCCCTCACACATGCACTCTGACACACACCCTCACATATGCACTCTCTCATACACATACATACACACACACACATGCACACATGCATGCATGGAGGGTTCTTGGGGCATGGCCTGCAGAGGTCTCTGTCATGACTGATGTCCCTCTGCACACTTGCTTTCAAACCTACCAGCCCAACTGAGGCACTGCTTCCTCCCGAGTTTTCTTTGTGGACTCACCAGCTGGGTTCTTTGGACAGGGAGGACCCTTGTGAGGAGTCCAGCAGAACATGGACATCCTTCCCAAAGCTGAACCATGAGGAGATGGGAGATGTGAAACAAGGCTTGGTGAGAGAAGGCTCCTGATGGGAGGGAGGGATGCACTCCCTTAGTGGGGGTCAGGCCTTGCCAGCAAGATCAGAATCCAAGAGAAGAATGAACATCAGGGACAGGTCAGAGGGAGTGTGCTGGAGGTGAAAAGGGACTTCATCCCTACACCTCGACGGTTGTCAGCACCCCTAGAGCCTCGGCTGGGACCTTGTCTGGGCATCTCAGGTCTCCAAGAGGATTGAGGATTGGGAGGCCCTCTGGAAGGGGCCAGACACCCAGGTGAGAGGAGCCTTTCCAAGTGCCACTGCCCCTCTAAATTCAGATGCTCTTTTCCCCATCTGCCCAGGTCCAGAGTGATGAACAGCCAGAATGAGTGAAAGAATCACAGCAAATAATAAAGCATCCCTGACATTTCTGAAGTCTGTTCCTAGGTCTCTTCTTTGTCCTAGAAGAACCAGCTAATATAGGCCAACTGAGCTGCCGAAGGTAGGGCTGGCCTGCATAGGACAACCAGCTGGGCACTGGACAGTGCCCTTTCACTGGACACTCTGAAGAACTTGTAATAAATGCTTTTTTTTTTTTTTACTATAATATATATGTCAGGGTGGTCAGAATACATAGCCGCAGCTGTGGGCGGCTTAGGCAGACACACCTCCAAATCTTGGGCCTTGCATGATACCTGGGGCAGAAGCAGATGAAGTCCAGGATGGCCAGGCTCAGCGGTTCTCCTCCAGTCCCCAAGAGGGGCATTGGGCTAGAAGCATCTTTGCTTGACCCACTTTGGTATCTCTGATCTAGGATGCGAGTCTAGGTTCAGAAGGAAAACTGCTCCCTGATTGCTCCCAAACACCAGTGACACGAAAGGTCATCCCAGAGGAGGAGGAGGAGGAGGGAAGCAGCCTGGAAGCCCCCATCCCAAAGCCCATCAGTATGAATGAGGCTCTGTTCTTGTTAGTGGAGATGAGTGCCCTACCCTAGGGAGGGGGAGAGGCAGAGCTGTCGAGAGAGAGAGAGCTTCAGATTTCCATCAGTCCCTTTGGGGACTCTTCAGGTCTTGTTCAGGTACTCCTGGCTTCCAGCTTCAAGATGGAAGATGGAAGGGGCCAACCCCATGTTAGGTTACTGAAAGAAAAGGCTGGGAAAACATGAGGAGACACCTGTCTCCACCATGTCTTCATGTGACACCAAAGCCTGTAGAGAGTGCCCTCCACCTTGGGTGAGACCCCAGACCTTCTCTCTGGGCTGAGCTGAGTTACCTCCCTCCTAAGATGAGATGCTTCTCACTGTGCTGTCTTCTCTAGTCTCCTAGGAAGACCATCACTGACATCTGTTTTGTTATCAATTTGGATAAATGGGCTTCTCAGCTATTCACTGAGTGTTCATCATGGAACCATTAGGTGGGGAAAGGGTCAAGCCCTGGATGTAAAGCTTGGGGCCACCGAGTTCCCCACAAATAAAAAAGTGATCAGAATTTACATGGAGCTGATCATCTCTCCTAGAAAAGCAATTTTCAAGGGAGCAGATAGATACTTTCTAGCCTGGTACCCCATCTCTGAGGAGAGAAGAGTGGTCTTCAGGTCCATGAACCACATCACCCAGAACAATCATGGGAGACTTGGGCTGGATAGGCAAGAGTGCACCTGAGACACTGGAAGGCCCCTAAGCCAGACAAAGTAATGAGATGTTAGATGCCTAAGTGTGCATGGTTTTTAGTCCTGGATATTACCAGAGTCCCATGTCTGAAGGACACAAGGACAAGGCTGCTTTTATCATTCAAAGGACTTGCAAGTTAGCTGACCCATATGTAACTGAGAGACTGGGCACATTTCCTGTTTATAAAATAGCCCCAGAGAATGGAGGGGGCCCTGATCAGGATGATTCACTGTAGCCACCTATTGCCCATGGAAGAGTTCACTGTACTTTGTAATGAGCAGGTGGAGAGAACTGACGGACACTGGCCTAGAAAAAGACTGAGGAAAAGGGACTGTAAATCAGCTGTACAAAAACTTTCTGACCTAAAGATGGGTCCTGAAAGTGATGCATCCAGTGAAGGAAACTGTCAATTATTCCAGGGCAGGAGACCACAATCCAGGGGCAGCTAATTTCTGGCTCAAAAGTGTGACAAAGCCTTGTAGGGGACAGATTCAACCCACAGAGCTCAAAAATACTGGTGGCCAACCTGGAATGGCTGTCAGCCCAGGTGCAGCACACACGTCTATAATGACGCTAGCGGTCAGCCCATACCAACTACTAGCTATAGTGCAGAAGCTGAGAAATCAGTGACAGGAGAGACCAGCATGAGGCCCATTAGACCAGTCCCTAGGCTGAGTCATGACTTTACAGGTAAACCTGAAGAGATGGCTCAGTGAAATGGGCCTTACACGTAGTTGCATGAAGTCCTGTGTGTTTGATGCTTGTTATGTTCATTCGACTATGTTCTTGGTTGTTCATGCAATGTCTGTGTTTTACATCTTTGCCTATCGCCATCGTGGCAGCTGGCTAGCTTTGCTTTGTTAGGAACCATGCTTCCAGTCTTTGAGGATTGCTAGGCACCATGGACATGCTTGTCCTTCCAAAACGTGCACATCACATGTTCTATGTGTAGTATCGCACGCTGTCGCTGTGATATCCTCGACACTGTGTTGTCTTCTCTATATTCTCCTATACAGACCTTCTCTGACATCTGGCTTGCTATCAATTTGGATAAATGGATTTCTCAGCCATTAGTTATGAGCGGTCATTGTGCAATTGCAATTAAGCAGGTGGGGAAAGGGCCATATAAAGCTTGGATATAAAACCAAGATTTCCCCCCCCCAAAAAAATAACAGAGTGATCAGAACTTAGGTGGAACCTGATCATATCCCGTAGAAGAACAATATTGAAGAGAACAGACATACTTTTAGCCTGGTAGCCCCTCTCTCTGAGGAGAGCAGATGGAAGTTTCCTGATTCCCCTTCTGGCAGGAATAAAAGTCTCCCTTGGAGAAGGAACTACAGAAGGAACTCTTCTGCCTCTCAGAGCCACACACAAGGACAGCCCTCACTATATGTGGGTGGGACTCACTCTTCTGCTCCAAATAAAACACCCTCTTAATCCTCCTTCAATTCCATCTCCACCAGTTGCCTTCCTATGGCTTTTACCTATAGATTCTCCAATTCACCTGTCCTGAGACCAAATCCCCATGGAAAGTGATGATCTACCTGAACTCAAACCTCAATCATTATCACATTTGTACCCCATCAACCCACCCACCCCCTCCCAGAGAATCTGAACCCCTGACCACCACTATTCAAAGTCTATTTTTGGTCTGACGTGGACTGCTCCTTTATTGCCCACCCCACCACGTCCCACTCCAGATCTACCCACCCCTTCCACAGGTAACAAACTTGCTTTCATCTTAAACCTTTTTCTTTCCTGGTCCTTCTATCTTTCTGTGCTTACCAAGACCCACCTGGCTGAATCCTTCAGAACTTTCCTCATGCTTCCGTGAATCTCATCATCCTGCAGGATCAACATCAACTCTAGGACTCACACCTCCTCAGTGGCCCCTGCCCCAGGGCCCCCCACCTCTCTCTGATTGAACAGGGTAGCAAGTGGACAAAATTTCTGCATGTGCTGTAATTGATGGCTCCATGTATGGATGGTGTGGTGTTGGCTGGTGGAAAAGCTGTTTTCTTGGTGTTAATTGTTATCTCCGCAGCTCCCATGGATTCAATTATCATCTCTAGGCTGATGATTTCTCACACTTATTTGCCCATCCTTACCTTACCTGCTGACTTCCAGTCCTGAACCTCCAAATGCCTTTCAAACATCTTAAATTGGGTGTCCTCTAGACAAAATCAGCACAAGCAGCGAAGAATCGATCCATGCTTTGTTGCATCTCAGCCTCAGAGGGTGCACAATCGTCTTCGAACAGAAAGTCATGCACCAACTCTCCCTCCAATTTAGTCTTGACCTTTTCAAGTTATGTAACTTACCATCAGTGCGGTAGCTGACCTTGATGCCATGTTCATTCTCATTGAAAGCTTCTGACAACATTGCTGAAAACATCATGATAAAGAGCATGGGAAAGGGGCAGCTAGGTGGCAGAGTGGATAGAGCTCTGGCCTTGGAGTCAGGAGAACCTGAGTTCAAATCCAGCCTCAGACACTTGACAATTACTAGCTGTGTGACCCTGGGCAAATCACTTAACCCCAATTGCCTCACCAAAAAGCAAAATAAATAGATAGCTAGATAATTAAATGAAAAGCATGGGAGTAAGCACATAACCCTGCTTCACTGGTGACTGGGAAAGTGTGAAAGCATCATTCATTATCCAGAACCTGTGTAAGCATGCCATCATGGAACTAAAGTCACAAGATGCAGATGGAGGGAGAATGTTCCAGGCATGAGGGACAGCCAGACAGAATGCCAGAGCTGAGAGATGGAGGGTCTTGTTGGTGGAACAGCAAGGGGGCCAGTGTCACTGTATCAAAGAGTACATGTCAGGGAGTCAGCGTGAGAAGATTGGGAAGAGAGGGAGGGGACTAGGCTATGAAAGGCTTTGAATGTCAAATAAAGGGTTTTGTACTTAATCCTAGAGGCCATAGGGAGCCACTGGGGTTTCTTGAGGAGGGGGTGACATGTTCAGACCTGAACTTTAGGAAAATCACTTTAGTGGCTGAATGGAAAATGAACTGGAGTGGGGACAGACTTGAGGCAGGCAGACCTCCCCCTCCTCCAGCTGCTACTGTAGTAGCCCAGGTGTGAGGAGATGAGGGTCTGCACCAGGGTTGGGGAAGCATCAAAGGAGAGGAAGGGGATATATTCAAAACATGTTGCAGAGGTGAAATCACAGACCTTTGCTTGGATATGGCTCCTCCTCCCACCCTTTCAGCTGCCACCAACTCCCTCCCATCTTCAGATGCCTTCTGCTCTTCTCTCCTCCTTCACCCCTATCTCCCATGAAGAAATGGACCTTCTCCTTACCTCCTTCCTTTTCATGCACAATGTCATCTTCTCTCCTCCAGCATATTGCCCCTGTCACGCCTACTCTATCACTCTATTGTCCTCCATCTCGCCATCTACAAACATGTCTATGTCTCCCCCATCCTCAAAAAACCCTCACTTAGTTCCCTGAACCCCCATTCTATGTCTGTCTCCACTTTTTTTTCTGAAGTCCCCTTCCAGTCTCAACCTAAATTATCTCCTGCTCACCATGGGTGTCCCTCAGGGCTCTGTCCTGGGCCCTCTTTTCTCTTTCTACTACTTCTCTTGGCTATCTCAGCAGCTCCCATGGATTCAATTATCATCTCTAGGCAGATGATTTCTCACACCTATCTGCCCATCCTTAACTCACCTGCTGACTTCCAGTCTTGAACCTCCAAATACCTTTCAAACATTTTAAAAGACAGAATCCCAACTCTTCCTT